AGCTTGAAGGAAAGGAGATCTGGGGCATGTGGCAGCAGTTTTCAGGAGGGCAAACAATGGCTCTGTGTGGCAGGATTGAATCTAAAGAATAGATGGTCTCTTTGGGCGGAAAAGGGCATTGTCGGGCTGCGGATATGTGTAATTAGACCGGTTTTCCACCTTTCTCCACACTTCCTTTTCACTGAGTTGAAGTATAAATCGGGCTGCCTCTTTGTCTTATCTGCCAGCCAGGGAAAGTTTAGGACTTGATGTATCTGCCCTTTTCAGTCTGTTCTCTGGTTGGTTATGCTGTGCTTAACACCACGGTATCTGAGCCGGGTATACGTTCTTTTCCATCGCTGGCCTTGGGAGCGGCTGTTCTTAGACAACAAAACTTTAAAAATGAACTTGAACAGGCAATTGTGAGACAAGAAATGATCCACGGACCGCGTTAAGCATGGTCTAAACAGGGGCTACAAATTCTTATCCCAGTACCTGGATTAGTTTTCGTGACCCCTCTGTCCCTATGGGTTTATTACTTGTTTGCCTCTCCCAGCACTGCCTCCGCCCCTCCTTCCTTGCCTTCACTGCATTGCAGCCTTTGATGGTTGTCCTGACATCCCTGGGTCGTGTTGTTCCCAGCGGGCACAGGGCTGCCTCGTTCCTTTAAGAACTTTCGAATATAGCTCTGTTTGCTGTGGGGAGCCAGGGTGGAGATGCGCCTGGTGGGAAGATGTTCTTACCCTGTGTTAAATTGTTTAGGACACAACCGGCCGTGTGCTGTGCCAGGCCTGGTAGAGGTTTTCAGAATGATGTTCGTGCCCCACCTGTGCTGTACAGGGCACTTGCTCTTGGGGACTGGACTGTATTGACCCAGAGACATCAGTATTGTGGGCATTAATGTTGCTTCAGTCTGAACTCTCTCAGCCATTTGAATCGGGGGTTCAGCTACACGGAGCAGGGCTTGTTTCAAAGCCAAGTCCTGTGAGTAATTCAGCCCTGCTTTGGAAACCCGACCCAGCAAATCCAGTGAAATGTGCATGTTCCAAAAGATATTTTTGCAGTCCCATCTTTGATCCTTACTTACAGGTTATCCTAGACTATCTTCTGCTGAAGGGGATCAATATTAGAGCATGATCTGGAGTGATGGGACTATTGGGCACCCTCTATGCATTACATCTATGCCACAATTAATATGTTAGTTATGGCATGAATAGCAAGGGTGTTACATGTGCACCCCTTTTAAAAGGTGCCATAAAATGGTAAACCAGCCATAAAAATGTTCTTCATATAATGTAGAACATATTCATGGCTGGTTTTTCTGGCACCTTAAATTGAACACGGAGCAAGTTCGGGTCAGGGCCGACAATCAACTGATTTCTGTCTCTAGCCCGGGACTGCACCAGGGTCCGATTGTTGGCCCCAGCCCTGGACCTGCAGGCACCTAGCTTTCAACTTACCAGTACAGAGGGATCCCAGACTCATGATCCCATCACTAGCAAGTAGAAAGGGTAGAGTTGGGATCCAGTCCCAGAATCACGTCTCCTGCTATGCACGTGTGGCCTGGTCGTAAGCACGGTTGCTGGGATCAAGGATCAGATCCTGTGGCTCCTTTACATGAATGTGTGCCAGGGGCCTTACGCGCTGTCTAAGCTGTTTTTGTTTTTTTTTTTACCTTTGCACATTCGTCATCCTTCTCCTGACCAGACAGACAGTAATAGAGCAGGAAGATTTGTATTCTTGTGACTGAAAATGCACACCCCTGCAGAGGCTCCCCTATGGTTGTCTCCACCGTGACGCTATTACATTAGATGCCGTGGGGTCTGTCAAGCGTAGCACTGCTTCCACGTGGCTGCGACGTCACTTTTCCTTCCTGTGTGGTTCATTGGCAGCTGTTAGTGTCCCCCTGATCTGCCCGTCGCTCCTCTTTGGGAATGCCTCCTGTGTTAACCTCCCCACGCCTGTCACGCTGTTCATCTGCTTTTACTTTTAAGCTTCTCATTCGTGTAGAGAGAGGGTCCTGTTTTTGGCTTTGTGCTCACTTTTACTTAGTGCTCACTTCATGCTTCTTAATCTGGCACTGGGTTTTTTCCCCATATGCACTGCTGTGATCTCAGTCCCCACATCTGGGTGTGCTGTGGTTTCTCTGACATGCTTCACCAGACACCGGTTCTTTGGATTATCGACTAGGATAATTCTGGGTCTGGATAGGTGAAACAACTGCACGGAGTGGAAGTGGGGAGGGACTCGCTGCTCATGAGCACGAGCGTGCTGATGCATTGTCACCGCTTTGTGCGTCCCTTCTGTCTCGCAGCAAGTGCAAGATAAGTCAGGGCAGTTTACCCGAATGACTGTGATTAGCTTCTGTTCGCTGCAAGAGAGCGCACAGTTACCCCAAAGCAGCTCGATGTGCAGAAAGTCCCTCTCCCTTTAAATCAGGATGGTGGTTTGATCTGTCCGCACCCTGTGCGTCTGCACACAGGCTCCTAACACTTGGCATCTGATCCCTGGAGTAAAAAGCGGAGGAGTCGCTCCCCTCCCGTGTGCTTGTTCCCGCATCCGTTTCAGAAGAGCTTTTCCTGTTGAAGGGCACGGCTCTGTGGCGGTAATTGTTGCCTCTGAACAAAAGGCTTCCACGGCAAGCCCGATCGTTTGCAATGCCACCTCGGGCAGCAGGCCAGCCGGGCTGCGGTGACGCTTGGTCATGATTTGAACCCACTGCCCTCCAGCAAGGGAGAGTCGGCCTGGCACTAGTTAACTGAATAGCTCCAGGATTTCTGGGTGCAGCCGGGGCGCTCCTCGCAGCCCCGCGAAATGAGAAACGTGAGGAGAGAGCAGGCTGCTTTCGTGGGCCAGCACAGGCTGGAGGAAGGAGTGCAGCAGTGCCTGGCTTTCGGGCCGGGCTCCGCCAGCACCTCTTCTTGGCTGGGATTTTTCAGAGGCACATAACTGTGGCTGGCACCGTTCAGCACCTCTGAGACACCGGCGCAAGGTGTCACAGGCTTAGCACCTGGGATTAGTGGGCATGTTGCTTTTGCACAGTGTCTTGGCGTGAATCTTACAGCTTCTCTCTAGGACACACGGGGAGGGCATCCTGCCGTGCTGTCGTACATCAGGATCCAAGGGCTTAATGAACTGCTCAAAGCATTACCATGGCTCCAGGAGCCTTGCTCTCAGTATTGCGTGTGCAGGGCAGGAGGGTTGCTGTGTCTGGGGAGGGGCTGCAGCTTCCAGGAGCTAACCGGGGGGCTGAGCTAAGTGCGGCAGGTTCCTTGAAACAGAGCGGTGCGTTTCCTCCGGCTGGATGATGCTGCTGCAGCGTGGAGATCCTCCTCCCACCTGCAGTCTGTGACTAATGTCTGCATCTGTGGGTAATTAGAGCGAGGCGGGGGGCACGGCGCTCTCCTGTAGCAGGCCTGTCCCTCTGCAGGATGTTATCTGAAAGCCGGCAGGGTCGGGCTTGTCCTGGAGTCGGCTCCACGAGATCTAATTAAGGGAGGAAGGCGGGGGAAGAGCCCGGCTAGGAACAATGGCATTGGAGAGCCTCCCCTTCTAGGGAGGAAGTCGGATCGCGGCTGCAGAGCCCTCTCGTGCATTTGAAGTGGAGCTGGCGGTTCTGGGAGGCCTTGAATGGAGACCACCGAGTGTGGAGCTCTTCAGCTCCGGGCTGCTGCCTGCAGCCGGGCCTCTTCCTCTCAAGAGCTTGTCTCTTCATTATTGTTAAACTTGGGCTGAGTCGAGCTGGCTGCTGGGCGCGTTCAGTGGCTGCTCTCGTGACCCCTTCTTGCCCTGCTCACTGCTGGGATGCCCCCCCCGCCCCCTCCCGGGGAAGAGGCAGGTGCGAGACTCTGTGCAGCTGTTCTGCCAGGTTCCTGCACCCCTGGAAAGTTGAGCATCATTCATCCAGCGTGCGAGTTGGTGCCCACCTAAGTCTGGACTTCCTGGCAGCTGGAATCTCAGAGACCAAGGGATTTAGGCACCTGGCTCCCCTTGGCGGGCGCTTGCAGTGAAGCCCGTGTGAAAGTGGTGGCAACCATGTGCCTTAGCAGCAGGTGCCAGGGTGCAGCGGCATGTTTGTCCCTTGTAGGCAGGTTTGGGGATCGGCCCCGAGGACTGAGCCTCTTGCCTGGAGAGGAGCCACTTTCCAGAGGTCTTGGGCAGCCGCTGGCTGGCGTCGTGCCGGAGCATAGGTCACGCCACTGGGTCCCCCTAAGGCGCCTGTCTCCCTCCTGCTGGGAGCGCCCCGCTGCCCTAGCCGGGGGAGAGATGTTGCCTCAACTAACTGTCCGGAGCACCCGCCCCAGACCCAGCAGAGACGGTCAGCCGTGGACCTCTTGCAAACATGCCGTAGCTGCAGCGTGAGGAGTACGTGATTGCGTGTCGTCTCCATTGCTGCGTTGTAACGGACCAGTCGCACCAGGCCCCGGTAACCAGAGCCCTGACTAGCACTCGTGCCTTGATTAGCACGTGCGTTGGGCCAGCGCTAGGAAGCCTTTGGCCTAGCGACGACTCTTCTTATAGAAGCTGCTTCCTCGGGCAGTCCGGGAACAGGCTGAAAGCAACGGGTCCACCACGGTTCTCCGTGGCCTTGCAGAGAAGGCAGGGAAAGCTTGGGGTGAAACCTACCTTTGCATTTTTTATTTTTTTTCATAGATGTTAGGGCTGGAAAAAAAATGTCCTTACTCTGCTTTCTGTCCTGGTGCTGGATTATTGGCTTTGTGCTGATGCAGCCTGTTCAGAGTCCCCTGGCCAGCGCTGGTCCCTCGCTGTACCGCTGGCGAAGGACTGAGCTCAGCAGGGTGAACGTGGGTAACTGGCCACGGCTCAGTTGATCGGCCTCCTTCGAGCAGTGATTTCCAGCTCCTCTAGACCCTGGACGTTCAGGGTCCCGCAAGAAAGCAGAGCTGTGCCGTGTAGCTCGCTCGGGCTCTTCTCCGTTACGTCTCCCACCAGCGAGAGTCGCTCCGTTCTGTGCTGTGCGCCCCGTGACTGATGAGCTTTGCCTTGTGTTATTTTTGCAGGTGTTGGCACTAGGAATTACTACAGGAAGATCGGCTACGAGCTGGAAGGGCCGTACATGGTGAAAAAGCTGGACTGACGCCCTGAGCCACAGGCGCTGCAGCCACATCTCCACTTCGCACGCGTGGCTGGGAACCGGGAGGAGACAGTGCAGGATGAGCTGTGGCCAGACAGCTCGGGGAGAAACACCAGCTGAAAACCAGAGTCCCCTCGCTGTAAAGTACGTGCTGATGCTGGAGTCTCCTGCAGGAGCTGGGACATCCGTAGCGGGGGGGTCTCTGCGGCAGCCGCTCTCCTAACAGACCTGCGAGTCTGCGGGATTTCCAGAGCTGGCTGTAACGCGTTGCTCTTTCCCCCTGCACAAAGCAGGAGGATTTGGTTCTGGCAGACACAGCGGGGAGAGGGCGTATATAGACCCTCGTCCTGCATATTGTCAAGGTTTTTAGATTTTCGTTTTCAGCAGTCCTGCCCCGAGGTAGAGCCTGGGCCTTGGATCATCAAAAACCTTTTCCCCCTTTTCCTGCCAGCTGAAACAAGCGTCTGATATGAGACCCAGGCCACAGGCTTTGGGGACGGGGGTAAGCTGCAGTTCAGCCCCTTCGCTTGCATTTGCCCAGCTGCCTGTTTGGGAACGGGAATACGGTGGGGTGCTCCTGCCGTCGGTGCTGCAGTGTTTGCAGCGCTCTCCTGGACCTTCGCTGCCTGAATAGTTCAGTGGGACCCATCCAGTAAAACCCGGGGGATGCACTAGCAGCATCTCTGCCTCATGGCGGGGGCGGGAAGCAGCTTTGGCTCTGAACTCCACTAGCCTCAGTGCAAACATGCTCTTGGTGTCAGCCTGGGAGGAAATCGGGGACAGCTATTTGTGCAGAGGCTGCCATTTTCTAGATGATGTTCTTCTGAATGATTCAGCCCCGAGTCCTCCGGAAATTTCCCGAGTATCAACTGCTCTGCTGCGCGTGCCGGCTGTGAGCTGAGCTGTGATGGAGCGCCGGTCAGGAAATGCGAAAGTGCCACCATGATCTATTGCTGCCTCGCGACGCTGGCTGGCGCGGTCACGGGCTAGCGCTGCTCTGACGTCTGCCGGCTCACCGCCGACTCTGGCAATAAAGTTTTTATCGCAGGCTTCTGGTGTGGAGTTCCTTAAGATTTCAGAGGTTGAAATGCGCACGGATCAGCGTGACCCACAGGCTGGGCCCGTTTGAACCTCCTTGCGTGTCCACACGCAGTCTGCTGCAAACGGGGAAAAGAGAAGGGGCTGCGGGTATGGGTATGGGGAAGGGGGCTATGGGTACGTCCAAGAGAAGGCCGGGTGGGTCGTAACTTTTACAGGACTTGGACCCCTTGGTACGCAGAGAATGGATAGGATTGTAGCAACCCGAAGCCAGAGGAAATGGGCGCTGATTGCTTTGGAGAGAGGCTGCCTCACATTCCCTCTGTTTGGGAGGTGTGTGGGGTTTTTTTTGTATCGCCCACTTAACTTGCACATCACAAAAATGCTGGAATAAAAACAGACGGCTCCTTTCTTGTGAGCTCTGAGAAGTTCGCTCTTCACACCACTAAAACCCGTGGGTTTTCCAGAGAGCACGGTGAGAACCAGACCTGACTGCCCTGATCTGTCTTTTTGAGATTACTTCAGGCTTCAAGAAGCAAAAAAAGTGTGAAACGGGCTGGTTTAATTCTCCTTCTACCAGTTGTTTCCCTGCCGTGTTGCCTTCCCCCACTGGCTCTGCTGCCACCGTGCAAACTGAGCTCCTGTCGAGGGCAGGGGTGCATTTTGATCGGATGCGTCGGCGTAGAAGTGCCGATGCAGTTTCCCACCACAGCGTGCCCAGGTGAGCAGCAGCGTGCAGTCATTGCTCCTCTGGGGCAGGTTGGGCACGCTGCGGTGGAAAGTTGCATCCTCACTTATACGCTGAGGCTCCCAAGAAGGAGGCTCGAAGTCTGCCTTCCAGACCGGGGAGACGGATGCTAAGATCCCACGAGTCCTTCCTTGCTGTCCCATGATCTGTCTCTCTTCAGGCAGCTGATGTGGTTTCCAAACTCCTGCAGCCTCATTAAAGATGAGCCATGCTCAGAGCTGGGTGCCAGTAATTGTAGTCATTGTGCTGCCGAGCGGTGCTGGCAGCGGTGTTTGGAGCTGGAGCAGCTACGGCTTCACCTTCTCTGCCTGCAGCCAGGGCCCCAGGAGAGGAGGCTGAGGCCGAGGAGCTGCTGCAGGTGGGGACTCTTCTTGGCTTCACAAAGTAAATTCAGAGATTTCTAGTAGGAATCCAGGGTGTCAAAAATGTTTTCACCTGCTGTGGGCTTTCTGAGTCCTTTGCAACAGAGGAATGGCGGTAGTGTTTAGTGCAGTCCAAAACTCAGCGAAAGCTCAGAGCTGGCATTCTCCGAGGGGGGCTCGAGTCCAAAACGGGGAGAACTGCTGTGCGAGACCATCTGCCACGTCAGACACAACCTACACACAACCAGAGGTCCTGGGCTGGTATCCCATGCTTGGCTCTTGCATGGACAGACTGGGGCGCTGCCTGAGGGGCAGCTTTTGGGAACCTGTCTGCAGGCCCTTCGCAAGTCCTCCTCTGGCGCTGCCTGGCCATCCCAGAAGCAATGTCTTCATGATGTTGTGGGGTCTGTGTACGTAAGGGCTTCCTGAATCCTCACCTGTGTGCAGACCACGAGAAGATCCCGATCTCTGCATGGCCCGTAGGCTTGGTACAAGGCTAGCAGGCAAAATACCCCAGCGTGCTAGAAAGGGATGACTAGTGTGAGCCCAGAGCCAAACCCTGCCTGCTCAGCACTGAAACAGGGTAAAGCTCAATGAGTCATTGCTCTTCTCAACCCATCAGCGTTGGCAGCCGTGTCCTGGACAAGTTGTAGTTGCAGAGTTCAGTCCTGGCTGGAGGTGTGCGATGAGGTTAAGCCTGTGCCCAGTCGAGCAGCAGCTGCCTTCCACCATAGGCATCACATTGTCCCCTCCACAGTACACGGGATTTGTGATGCTGGGAAAATAGGTATTATGCTGTCGTGCAGGTGACTCCCTGGTTTTACAGGGAGCTTATTTGGACGTCATAACCTGAAACAATGCCTCAGGCAGCAATGCCAGCCGTGTCTGAATCTCCTCGTGTCAACATGAGAATAGGATGGGGTTCAGCGCAGACAAATGCAGGGTGCTGCACCTGGGGAGAAGGACTCCACAGCACACATACAGGCTGGGGAGTTCCCCTCGTGACAGCACAGAGGTGGAAAGGGATCTCGGAGTCATTATTGACTCCAAGATGAACATGAGCCGCCAATGCCAGACCGCAGCCAGCAAGGCAAGCCAGACCTTGTCATGCATCCAAAGGTGCATCTCAAGCCGGTCCAGAGAGGCGATCCTCCCCCTCTATGCGACATTGGTCAGGCCGCAGCTGGAGTACTGCATCCAGTACTGGGTGCCGCACTTCAAAAGGGATGTGGCCAGCCTGGAGAGGGGTCAGAGGAGGCCACCCGCTTGGTGAGAGGGCAGCAGGACAGGCCCTACG